TTTTCTTTCTTCAATAAGCCTTAACATTGGCCACACAGAGAATTACTGATATAGGCAATCAATAGATGATTTAAAATTCTACTTCTTCTAGATGTGAAAGTTGCAAGACATCCTAACAAGCAAAACTAACTTAGGAGAGATTAAAAAGTAATTTACAGGCTGGAGTGATAGCACAGTGGGTAGGGCTTTGCCTTGCACGCGGCCGACCTGGGCTCAATTCCCAGCATCCCATATGGTCCCCTGAGCACCGCCAGGAGTAACTCCTGAGTGCAGAGTCAGGAGTAGCCCCTGTGCATTGCCGAGTGTGACCCAAAAAGCAAAATAAATAAATAAAAAGTAATTTACTTAAATTCATGAAAAGGTACACCCAAAAAATTTTAGAAGGATTAAACTTAAAATGTGCCAAGTTGTTCCATAGAGACATATATGGATACTCACATATCTTGACAGGGCTTAAGCTGAGTTGTAATTTCCTTAAAGGAAGAAAGTTTAGCTATTCCAATAAAAAAACAAATTCTAGACAAGATAAAAAGCACATTCAACTACATGATCTTTATAAAATATAGCAAATATAATGACATAAATGGGTTGGAAGTTAAATGGTGGAGAAAGATATACAAAAATTAAGCGTAAGAAAGCTTGTGTACCTGTATACAAGTACTGGTAAAATAGACCTCAAAACATTTAATTCTAGAAGATGAATTAAAAACTGCCATTATAAATGTATAAAGCTATATCAAAGAATCAAAATATATGAAGCAAGCATTGTCAGAAATAAGAATATCAAGTTGTTAGAAAAGATGAAGTCATGAAATTTACATACAAGTGGTACAACATGGAAAGTATCATGCTAAGCGAAATGAGTCAGAAAGAGAGGGATAGACATAGAAAGATTGCATTCATCTGGGGGATATAAAGTAACAAAGTATGAGATTAATACCCAAGAATAGCTGAGATCAGCACCAGGAGGATTACTCCATAGCTTAGTGGCCAGTCGGGCATTCTAGAGGAAAGGGCAGCTCAGACAGAGAAGGGAACACCAAATAAAGGGTGTTTGGAGGACCTTCCCAGGAGGGGAGATGCATGTCGAAAGTGGACTATGGACTGAACATGTTTGCCACTCAATGCCTCTTTTGCAGACCACAACACCCAAAAGGAGAGAGAGAACACAGGGGATTGCCCTGCCACAGAGGCAGGGGGGGATGGGGGGATGGGGGTAGGGGGGATATTATCCATGGTGGTGGAAAATGGGCACTGGTGGAGGGATGGGTATCTGATCATTGTATAATCAAACCCAAGCACAAAAAATTGTAAATCTACAACTGTACCTCATGGTGTTTCACTAATAAAAAAAAAATTTAAAAAAAAAGAATATCAAGTTGTTAAAAGCAGATTCAGAATACTTAACAATTTTCCTCACTAACAAAATAAGTCACTGTTTTAATTAATTTGTGTTTTGAACACGTCTCGTGATCTCAGGGGTTTCTCCTAGGTCGGTGCCAAGGAATTAGTTTTAGCAGGGGTTAGGGGATCATATGGGATGCCAGGGATAAAATCCAGGTCAGCTGAGTGCAAAGTAAAAGCCCTACCCACTGTACTATAGCTCCAACCGCCATTTTTTTTAATCAGCAAAAGCAGATTTATTCAATATTATCAAGTAACCTGACACCCAACTTTTAAGAATACCATAACCAAAGAGAGCTATAAAGAGAGTAAAGTGCTTGCCTTGTATGCAGTCAACCTTAGTTATATCCCTGGCACTTCATATGCTCCCCAAGCCCAGCCAGGATTGCTCCCTCAGTGGAGTCTGGAGTGAGCCCTGGGCAGCACTGGGCGTTGTCAAAACAAAGTGTATGACCCTTGACAAACAAATGCATAAGCACTATAAGTGCACATATGCAATCGCTGATGAGAACATCAACAAGGGGAAAGCAAAGAGAATACATCTTAAAAAACTTTTCTTTGTGAAAGATTAATACAATTAATTGATAGGCAACCAGAAAGTCTACTCAAAATTACCAACATGGAGAATAAAGTCTTAAACACAGCAAGAAAATGTTAAGGATAAGAACTAATTCCTTAAACCACAAATTACCAAAAGTTTTACAAGAAGAAATAAGCAGGCACAAAATGTCACCATAGATATTTAAAAAATGGAATTTTTATTAAAACAAAAGAAACAAAACACCTGAACCACAAAGAATAATCTGATGTCTTTACCAATAAATCCTACCAAGATTTAAAGCAAATAAATACATTACTATTCTTTCACAACTTTCTTCCCAGAAAATAGTTAAAAGGAGAAAATATTCTCAGGATTTACTCCTGGCTCTGTGCTCAGGGTATACACTCAGTTGGGCCACATGCAATTGCAAGCGCTTTACCTAGACCTCATCTTCTACCCTGTGAGGCCGAAAATACATACCAAAACCAGACAAAAATAAGAAAATGACCCTAGGCTAGCCTTGCATATGTGTGTTAAGCTCCAGAACCCCATATGATAGCTGAGGCCCAAAGAAATGATCCCTGAACTCACAGCCAGAAGTAAGCTCTAATCACAGCTGGGTATGACTCCAAAACAAAAAAGTACAAGAAAAATAAATTATAGCTCAATATTGCTACTGAACCGACACAAAATTGAAGTATATCAAACCGGAATAATCTGACTTTGAAACCATGAGAATATTTTATATAGCTATGATAAAATTCAATTAAAAATACTCTAATAAGCAAATGTAAAATAAAACAAATGCATATATGCATAATACCATCAGGGTAACTACAGAAAGGAAGCCTATTTTATATGTCTAATGCAATATGTATATTTTAAAACAACTACACAAGTAATAAACATATGTTAATGAGAACAATGCAAATAATATATTTTTAGGAATATTATTAGAGAGAGCATTAGAAATAGTTTAATAAGCTTGATACAAAAGGAAGGCCCTGGATTTGATCCTTGGCAGCACATTGTCTCCTAATAAAAAAAAAAAACCCAAGAGTAGCCCCAGGGCATCACTAGGTCTGGGACAATAAAGCCTCCCAAATTGTTTTCCGAGTACAAAACAAATATAAAATCCAGAAAAAAATATTTTTGAGTATAAAAACAAAGATAAAATCAAGAACAATTTATAATCTTTCAATATGAGCATTAGTGCAAATCAGAATTTTCTTTTTTGGGGCTTTAGGTCACCCTTGACTCTGTACTTAGGAATCACTCTTGGTGGTGTTCAGGGAACCATATGGGGTGTCAGGGATCAAACCTCGTTGGCCAACTGCAAGACAAATACTTTCCCTATTACACAACCTCTCCAAACCCAAAATTGTGGCTTCTTAAACCCACTTTCCACTAAAAGGAGCCAAGATTCCATATAAAAGTGACTGATTTTATATTTACAACAGGAAATAAGGCTAGAATATTTGGTCACACTAGAAAGTTTTAGAGTCTGCTACAGACTACCAGTGTCATGTCAAATGAAATCCAAAAGGAGCTAAATCAAAATAAAAAGCAACCCTCTTGCTAAAAATTTGGTTATTCGTTGAAACAATAGCTGTTCTGTATAAATCTTAGACATCTACAAGTTCACGTGATAATTTCAAAGGAAACATAGGATAAACTTTGGAAGATACTGAAAAATGAGTAAAATCATTTTTATGCTTTTTATTTTGACTAAGTAACCATGATGTTGAAAAGGGAATAGCTGGGCAACTTTTAACAACATGTTACTACTAATCTCCTATAGAAGGGCTTACTGGCTCCTAGGTGAAATACAACAATCTTCACATACTTTCCTCTAAGAAAACTTTTTTGGATCATTTTTAGCAGATTGTAAGAAGCAAAACAAAATAAATTACTTTGGTTCTGCTTTGGGGGCAGAGTTTGAGGTTCAGGATAAAAACACTGGAAATACGGTGGTAGGAAGGTATAATGGTGGTGGCATTGGTGTTCAAATACTAAATGTAATCAATTATTGTGAAAAACTTTATAAAAATAAAATTAAATTTTAAAAAACGATAGCTGGTTCCCTTCACAGAAATATTCCAGGTATTATACGTAAAAATATTATCTACCACTAACAGATGCAAACACCATTAGGTATGAAACACTGACGTAAAACAAGTAATAACAAACACAAACTAGAATCTGATCAAAACTCTAGAATTAAATGTCAGTTCTTTTAAGAAACATAGGGTTTTCCGAAGCAGAGGATACTGCCTAAGGGAGGTGCTAGAACCAGGAAATAGTCTGACATGGGAGCTTTACCTTTTTTCGGGTAGGAGTTTTGGGGCCACACCAGGCAATGCTCAGGGTTGGCTTCTGACTCTGAGTTCAGGGATCACTCCTGGTGGTATTCAGGGAACTTTACAGGGCCCCAGGGTTCAACCCTGGGTCAGCCTAAAGTAAGTACCCCTACCTGCTGTACTATTGGTCCAACCCAAAGACATGGAAACTTTCTGTTTGATAGTTTAAAGAAGATAAGTTTCCGGAAAGAAAAAGAGTACTTTTTTCTGAAAAGAAGATGGTAGGCCAAACAAGTTTGGGAACTTCTAGGTTAATGTGTTAAATGACACCACTTATATATAGTAATTCATAACACGCATATAAATTATTTAAAAGTTTATAAGTTTTTTTTATAAAGCATAAAAAGAAAAGATAAAAGTTTTTTTTTCCAGAGGGGAGGTTGAATCATGTCTTGCTCCCAATTAACTGCAGCTAATTGCCTGTTCTTCCATAATTTGGAAAAAGTTTACAAAACAAAGACTCCTATGTATTTCAAAAACAAAGGCATTTCAATTTCAGGAGTTGAAGAGATGTTATACTTCATTCTACATAGGTAGGATATTTGCCTTGTTTACAGCTAACCTGAGTTTGATCCTTAGCACCCCTATGATCCCGAAGATCACTCCCGAAGTGATCTCTGAGCAGTGCTGGGTGTGACCCAACCTCCATTCCTCCCTGCCCCAAACAAAATGCATTTCAGAAAATATTTACTCACCTTGGACTTTGCTTTTGAATGTATGAAAGCCATTCTTTCCTCCTCTGGGTTCTAAGCTCAAGGAAAGAAAACGGAATCATCATGAAATACCTGACCCTCCTTACGGCCTATGCTCTAGAACTTATACCTTCTCTTTCCCTATCTATCCAACATTTAAAAGACGATAGTCAGAAAGAGACAAGACCAGTTTCACACTTTCTATATCAGAAAGAAGGGCCAAGATCATATGGTCTTGGACTAGAATTCATTTCTGGATTCAAAACTGCTCATTGGAGACAGTCCTACAACAAAGTGCTACTAGTTTTAAAAGTGCATTTTAGAACACACTCCCACTCCTGAAACATTTCCATGTAGCTTCACTTAAAAGTGCTCTCAGCTCTAAAATTTTCATCGTAAGCCCATATCTGTTGGCATAGAAATAACTTATTCTCTACAGGAGAATACAGGGTAAGGCTCCCGCCTGAGATGCTGCTGACCCCTGGTAGTCCACACATATCCCTCAGTATTGAGCACCTCTGGATGTGGCCAAAAGATAGCCTCCTCTCCCAACCCCACACACACACACACAAATCTTAAAATTAACTCATTTTTCATTCCTGGACATAAATTTCTAACTTCCTTTCTTCACTTATCTGTACCCAATAACGCAACAATACGGTTATAATGTAAGAAGGCTGGGGAAGCAGCAGGAGCCTAGAACTACCCTCCCAAAGAAATAGACAATACAGGGCCTGTGAATGGGAGTGGAGGGTATTTATGAGGTCAAAAAAGAGATCAAGTCCTCTGTGGACAAAGTCACAGGGCCAGATTTCAGGTTCTCCACAACGTAGTCGACCCTGGAATGACCAAGAAAAAAAACACCAGATAACGTTACATCTGTATCCCACTAAACTCTCTAAAATACACAAATGGGTGACAGAGCGAGAGTACAGCAGATAGAAGGGTTGCCTTGCACACTGCTGAGCTTAACCCCGGCGCCCCAAATAGTTGCCCTGCCTTGCCAGGGGCACTGAGCGCAGCGCTGGAGTAAGCCCTGAGCAACACCAGGAATAACCAAACAAGAAAAAAAAAATAAACATACACAAATGACCACACCAAGTTACCCAGTCTCATAGACTAAGTCACGATCACAGCGCAACACAGTCAGATCACAAACACAGACACACACTTGGGCAAAAACACAAACATCACTAAAACTCTTCTCTGTTCACACTCCTGAAAACGGCACACACACACACACACACACACACACACACAGCCTCACAAGCGAGTATACTTGCCAGCCAGTCAAAGCAACGAGCCATTCCAAACCGTGTCACACAACTGTCCCAACACTGCCGCGTCGAGGGGGAAAACCCCAATAAAACACACGATACCGGTCATGGACACAACTTCAAGGTGACACAAGCACTCCAGCACACCTCACAGTCCCCAGCAAACCTGTCACACAAGCGGCACACACCCAGTGTCACCGGAGCACAGTCCCAGGTACGCGCGCAGTCGCCAACACCCCGTCACAATGCCAAGGCACCATCGGAGCCGCAAAACAACTCTCTGGGGTCACGAGCTTCCACAACAGCACAGTGGTACACGCCCATTCGGCAACACAACAACCGCACACACCGAGACACCGGGCGGGCTGTCGGACACACACCGAACTGTAAAGAGACTCGGCCACACACCAATTCCAGCGGCGCTTTCCTTGAGCGTTCCCGCCCGGGCATTCGACATCCTCACCGGCACAGAGTATTGTTCAGAGTCCAAGATCTGGCGCGCGGGGATCTGAAACTGATTTCCGGTTCGCCAGTCGCGCCGGAACCGAACCAAGCTCCACCACTGACAAAAACGCAAGGCTCCCAAACCGCGAACGGAAATGACGAGACGCGGAGGGCTGTGGGAAATGTAGTCCAATGCGAGGGCAGGATGCGCATTTTCTCTTCCCCAGGTGGCGGCGCCGCGGAGATTTCTGGGAGTGCCTGCAAGTGCTCAGTGCGCAGGCGCGGCTGCGCGCCCGCGGCTGCCGCGTGAAAGCATTTGTGTTGAGTCGTTCTAGGTTCTTAACGCTCCGGGGCGACCAGAGGCGATGGACAGCGGGCAGGTGCTGGAGGAGAAATCGGAGCTGGGGCTGGGACTCCTAAAGCGAGCTGCTGTCGGCTGACGGGGGAATCCTTTAGTGCTCCGGTTTGTGATTTCTAGTGCTTTGGGGGATGTCAGGTAATTCGTATACTTAAAGGTTCCCGGGAATGGCTTATTTATTTACTTATTTATTACTTTTTTGGTTTGCACCCTGATGCACTCCTGGCGGTGCTCGGGACCATTTGGGATGGTGATGCTCAGAGAACCATATGGGACTGTATGGGACGCTGGAGATCCAACCGGGGTTGGTCGCGTGCAAGGCAAACGCCCTACACGCTATGCTACATAGCTCCAGCCCCGGGAATGGCATTTTAAAATGTGTGGGGTCATCTGACGGAGTTGGGGACCTCTGCTGATGTGGTTGTGTTGTGTGGGTGTTGTGTGGTGATTTATTTTATATAAATGGGCTTTTCTCTAGCTTTTATTTTAAGTAAAGAACTTTTATTTATTTATTTTATTTTAAGCAAATGAGCCTGCCAATAGGACGGAATGCCAAACAGAAGAGATGACCAAGTTGGTTCTTGCTTGATCACCAACTAGTTTGATGAGCAGGAAAAGGCACTCTACCTACTACATAATTCAGATGCATATATCCATGGGAAAGATACTGAGTGAACATAGTTTGATTTTTATGTTTTAAGAGAAATGATTTGTTGTTGCTGCTGGTGAGGTGAGGAGGAGCCACTGAGTGGGTGGTGTAACAACCCTTTTGCTTGGCTCACTAAGACCTTTCCAGTGCCAGGGGAGGTCAGAACTCCTATAAAATCTACCCTGCACTTTGTGGATTTTAGGTCAATTCCCTAAATTTGTTGTCTATTCTAGGAGAAAAGAATTTCCAGCGATGACATTTTATTACGGGGATTATGAGAGGATAAAAGAAAAGCCTTCAACAGAGAGCACAGGTGCTGCCGAGAAAGAAAAAAAGCTCCATGAAAAAAAAAGGAAGGAATTATGCACTCCAGGTTAGAAAGCTGGGCAGCCTCCAAATGGAGTTTATGGTGTGTGCTTTTGGAAAGCTTTTTTATATAGGCCCTGGGTTTGATCCCTGTCACTAAATAAATAAAATACATAATAAAATATGAAAAGCAAGAATTGTTAGCCTGAAATGAACAGAGTCCATGACAATGAGCTTCTTTTATATTGAATTTGTGGCATTGTATATGTGTGGATATAATGTAATTTAGTTTTACCAAATAAAAAATAATAAATACAAAGAGATACTTTAACTCATAAAAATTTTAGGATACACACTTGCAGGAGGTGAGTAGGACCTAAAAAAACACTTTATTTTTTAAGTATATATTTATACTTTTATTATTTTTTAAAGTATATATTTTTTGATAGGACTAAACACTAAACTGTTTAGTCTTTGGGGTAAAAAGAAAAGACCTGCCTTTCTTTTTTAAAAAAAGAAAGAAACTCTTTTTTTTATGCTTTTTGGGTCACACCTGGCGATGCACAGGGATTACTCCTGGCTCTACACTCAGGAGTTACTCCTGACGGTGCTCAGGGGACCATATGGGATTCTGGGAATCAAACCTGGGTTGACCGCGTGCAAGGCAAACCCCCTACCCGCTGTGCTATCTCTCCAAACCCGGGAACTCTTTTTTTTTAAACTTTTTTATTGACTTACGGTGAGATAGACCCTTATAAAGCTGTTTATGATTGGATTTCAGTCATACAGTATTCCAACACCCATCCCTTCATCAGTGTAGATTTCCCAATACCAGTGTCCCAGTTTCCCCTCCCATCACCCCCTAGCCCCCAACCCCAGCCTGCCTCTATAGCAGGCACTTCCCCCCTCTCTCTCTGTCTCTCTCTCTTTCTCTCCTCATTCCCCCTCTCTCCCTCTCCTGTCCTCTCTCTCATCCCTTCCTTTCCTCTCTCTCCCCACCCCCTCACCTTTTGGGCATTGTGGTTTGCAATATTGATACTGAAAGGTTATCAAGAAATCCCTTTACCTACTTTCAACCCTCAGATTTTGCCCAGGGTGATCATTCTCAAAGGGAACTCATAAATATTATTAATAGGTTCTTTTTTCTACTAAATATATAAAAGTTTTACTACAAACATGCTCTACAGTAGACTAATTCAACTATTTCTTTCTTGATAGGAACATTTTCTGTGACAAGAAGTTAACAAGATAAACACTGTCTAAGACGTTGGCTATCAAAAAGATGCTGTTTAAAGGTTTCTAGAAACTTCATTTGTTACTCTGGAGGAATGAATGGTATGATTGTTTTTTCTGAACAAAATTAATATTAATAAATTAGCACTGTAGCACTGTCCTCCCATTGTTCTTTGATTTGCTCGAGCGGGCACCAGTAACATCTCCATTGTGAGTCTTGTGGTTACTGTTTTTGTCATATCGAATATGTCACGGGTAGCTTGCCAGGCTTTGCCGTGCGGGCGAAATACTCTTGGTAGCTTTCCGGGCTCTCCAAGAGGGGCGGAGGAATCGACCCCGGGTCAGCCACATGCAAGGCAAACCCCCTCCCTGCTATGCTATTGCCCATTAATAAAGTACATCAGATATTTTCTTAAGAATTTTATATGCTTCAGTAGCTGAATAAATAGCAGTACTCCTACATAAAAAAAAGAAGAAGAATTTTATCTGCCAAGGAACTGGGGATATAGCATAGTGATAAAGTACAGGCCTTTTACATATTGCCTTGGGTTGATACCTGTTATGGGTAAAGCCCTGGATTTAACCTGCATCTTAATATCATTTTCTCTGTGAATAGTAATCAGGACTTCTTAAAGAAACTGTTGTTTCCAGTGTTAGGACAGAGAAAATACAAGACCAGCTTGAATCTTGCATATGAAATTTAAGAAAGTAGTCAAAGGATATTAGGAACCTTTGGGGAAAAAAGCCACATATGGTGGAGAGATAGTATTGCA